ACTGCGATGCCGAGAAACTACAAGTGGTAGTTCACTGTTTTGGTGGACGAGGTGCGTGCGTGTCTGACAAGACCACCAGAGCGGTGACAAGATGCAGCGATGAGGAAATGTGCGTCTCGGAGTTGAGAAGTTTGAGGGGGCATGGGAGGAATGTGTATATTATCTACGGTGTGGCAAAGGAGGGAACGCCGCCACCGAGACATTTTGCGCCTACTTCTGGATGGGGCATGATTGTGGTGTCATTCCAAAGGTAGCCAACTATGATGAGTGGGCGAAGCAACTGCAAGCCGCGCGAACCATCGTGAATTGCCCCGACGAGGTGGATGTGAAGGCGATGTGCGCCTGGATGGCGCGTGGTGGGACCAAAGAGAAACAAGCGGAATGCTGGAAAGAGGTCAAAAACAAATGCATCTTTTGGGACCGATTCCACGTCACGTCTTTGATGAGGAGGCGTTTAATGGACGCTGTGGAGCGGTGAAGTTTGCATTGCAATCGATCAACGAGGGAACTGCGAAGGAGTACTTTTCACAGGGAGGTGAGTCGCCACGGTATTCTGAGGATCCGTCCCACAAGCCTGTGAAAGTTGTTCGGGAAATATACGCAGGCGGAGTGACCCCTTTCAATGCAGCGATATCTGATTGCCTCGGGGAACGGACATTGGAACGCCTCCCAAGTGTAGCAGAATAAAATGGCTTTTTGAGGCTGATGTTGGCGTCGAGGGATAATATTTTGCCAATATTTTTTGGATGGCTTGCTTTGAAATCGTTCACGGAGAGTGCCTTTGCCAAGGCAATGGCGACGAAACTCACGGAGTTTGAGCCGCCAACAGGACGTCAAGCAAAGCCCTGCGTCTTGAAGTTGGCCCTGAATTGCATCCCAAGGGAGATGAGGGTTTGCTGCCGAGTGAATATGAAAAAACGATCCGTAAAATAAAGTACGGGGTGCTGCACACACCGTGGGCCACGAAATTTTTGCTGGTGGACGGCTTTGTTTTTCAGAGTCCAATCCAATGACGCTGGTTGGGCTGCGGATGAATACGGCGGGTGGGCGCCACACCACCGCCAGCACTGTGCGGCAGTTCACTGAGTGCCTGGCGGCATATTTTAATGGTTGGGAGGAGTTATTCCGAGACATGTCGTGGGATATTATTTATGTGCAGCACGCAGACAGCACGCCGATGACTGGCTGGCAGAGATGTGATTTCGTCGACTCCAATAATGTGAGCGAGGAAGAAAGCAAGGGGATTGCGGCGTTCTGGAGGAAAAGGTGCGCCAGTACCAAGTGCCAATATCATCCAGAGACTTTTGAAGAGACGAAGCTGACCGAAGTGAGGAATAACCGTCGAAATAGGAAAACAAATTGGGGAAAGGGGCATTTTTGATTTGTGGTAAAAAGAAATATTGTGGGAGTTATATATTTTTGGATGCTTGTGTGAGCATGCGGTGCGGGTGCACCAGCACCGGGCGGCAGCACCGCGCACAGATGCCAAAATGTCCAACGCTATCGAACTTAACGGTGACCGAAGAAATTAGGGAGGGAGCGGGGTTGTTTGGCTTCTGGTGAAAAACATTGGGTGATCTTTATATGGTATGTTGATTGTGTGTGGGTACGAGGCGTAATTGGAGAATTGCCCCGGTATGAGGGAATCATTGTGGCTGGCGGTGTCACGGCGTTACTGCATTGTCCATTTTCTTCTATTGTGTTTGAAGGCCCATCACTAACAGAAGCATCTTTAGGGGATGGGCGACGAATAAGGTCTATTGGAGAAATGGCTCACTCCGTGTGACCGCGTGGACTGAGGCGCCGCGTCGTGGCTGGGTGAGGAATCGCTTTCGCGTGTGGCTCTTTGGGTGATTTCTTGCTCCGTGTGCGTTGTGTTTGCTGGCTTTGGGGCTGTGGCCGTGTCTCGTTGGCCGTGGGATTGAACTGGAGGCGGTGGCGGTGTGTCTCTTCTTGTTCTTGTCCATTGGTGGATGACTGCTGGCGGTGTGTGCGTTTGTTGTGTGGAGGGCCGAATCTTTTCTTCCGCAGACTGACGGCACTGCGATGGTGTGTGTGTGTGAGGGCTGGTGTGGACTCGCCGGACGGGGCGAGGGCCGTGGCGCTGCTTTTTCCGCCCGCAATTTGTTTCTTCCGTGTGTGTTGTGCTGCTTCTTGCTTTTTTCCCCTCACCCTCTTCTCCTGTTTTCCTGCGTGGAGTGGCCGCATGCTCACGGGCCATGTTGATTGTGAGTGCCTCCTGACGGCATCCATTCATCTCCCTCTGTCTGTCTGTCTGTCATTCCCTGTTGGGTGTGGCGTGTTGCACCGCGTGAGGGCTGGCCCGCACACACCGACGGCCCGCCGTGACGCCCGCGATGGCCGGTACGGAGTGGCGGTGCTCGCTGTCTCATCTCTTTACTTGGCTTGTTTTCCCTTTTCCCTCAACTTCTTGAACACAGACACGCTAGGAAGCAAGCAAACAAGCGCTAAACGCTACTGTGCACTCTGAGGGCTCTGAAAGGACCAACAGCACACACACCGCCCACACACACATATTTATATGCTCTCACGTGTTGCTGCAGTGAAGGCACCCCGCACACACAACCGTCGCCGCGTGACCGGATCCAGCGGAAGGAGGAGGGAAGGAAGAGAGGGTGAGTCGCAGAGGCCCAACATGTCCCGGCATCTCTTCTACTCTGCGGTGCTGCTTCTCCTCGTCGTGATGATGTGCGGCAGTGAAGCCACTTATGGCAAGGAGGGCAATTCAAGGAATGGAATCATTTTAAATGAGGGGATTTGTTTAATGATGCAGAGAACAAATCTATGATACATACGTTGGATTCCTTCCGTGCATCTTCTCTTGCTTAAGTGAAAGGCGCTGTTGTGGCTATCGTTGAAGCGCATTACACAAGTACCACGGATAGTAAATCGTGTGTTGTTGGTGCTGCAAATTCGATTGACAGCGATAAGTGGACGTGGAGGAAGGGAAGTGCCATCGTGATCATTACGGCATTAGCTTTGACCCCCGTTGCGCCCAACAGCTATTGTGGATGATGGGGGTATAAAAGGACTCTTGTTGGGGGTTATGGCAAGTCAGGGGCTCCACTGACGAAGGTGGCTGGTGATGACTGTCGGACGCCCAGGATGGCGGAGGGTGACGTTCCGCATGACGATGAGGATGAGAGGAAGATGGGGTTTGCGTGGCATGGAAGCGGCACTTCGAATCTTGACAGCTTTTTGAAGGATTTCAAACCCATTCCCAAACCCTTCAGACAACTTTTGGGTGGTGGTGGCGCAGGCATTCGGTTGGGGGACGATTTCTCGGTGCTGCCCACTCACGCCTTGAAGGATGATGGAAAGGTCGTTTCGTTGGTCATCCTTGCCAAAGGTTTTACTTATGAATGGGAGTTTTCAAGGGATACGAGTCCTGCGGGATGCATCCGGCCTGCGGTTCTTGCATGGAAGGACAGAGATCTCGTCACGATGACGTCGAGTGCGGACGGCAGCCGCGGGGTTTACACGTCGGACGAAAAGGGGGAGTCGGTGGACGGAGGCATACGACACTCTTTCGCGCGTGTGGGGCACGGCGTGCAGGGTGGCTTCGTCAGCGCGACGATCGACGGACAGAAAGTCATCCTCGTCAGTCGGCCGGTATGTTCCGAGACGGACGGTAAAGAAGAAACGCGTCGACTTCACTTGTGGCTGTCGGACCTGCGGCGAATTTATGATGTTGGGCCGGTATCCGCTGTGGGTGAGAAGGTCGCCGCCAGCACTCTGCCGCACTCCATTGAACTGCAGGTACGGAAAGATCCGATAGAAGCGAGGAGATTGTACTGCTCGTACGAGGTCGCTGCTGCAGAGGACGGTGAGTACAACATTACTTTTGTGGACATGACGGAGAAGTTGGAGGACATGAAGGAGGTGTTGGCTGCATGGAAGGAAAGGGACGCGCAAATTGCGAAGGAGTACCGCTGCGGGAATAAAAAGAATAATTGGCGCAGTGAATGTGATGATGGTGACCTCACTAAAGGGCTGGTTGGCCTCTTATCCAGCACGTCAACTGACAGCACATGGAGAGACGAGTACCTCTGCGTGAATGCAGCCGTTTGCGGGGGAGTGGAAAGTACTCCCGATGGTGGATTGACGTTCAAAGGACCCGGAGCAGGGGCGGAGCGGCCTGTTGGCGACATGGGGCCGAATCAGCCGTACCACTTTGCGGACAAGAATTTCACCCCTCATGGCGACGGTGTCCGTCCGCGAGGTGCCGAAAGCAGGCAGCAGCAGCTCTATCCCTTTGACGGGTGTGAAGCTACATGACCCCGGCCACACGGTGCTCTTTTGTCTGTCGTACACGAATGAAAATAAGTGGGAGGTAGCAATCAACGGCAACACTCGGAGTTTGTCGGGGGATCGCAACCGGATGCGGGGCAGAAAATATCGGGTGGCACTGGGAATGGAATATTATTTTAAGCATTTGATTGTGTACGTGGATGGATTGCTGATGTACGACAGCGAAAAGGAATATGAGGATAATGAGGACTTCTTTAAAGAGCTAAAAACAGTGTTGAGTTCCCACAGCACATCGCACTCCTACATTGGCGGGGAGCGTGCGGGGGACTCGGACGACGTTCATGTGACGGTGAGCAACGTCCTGCTGTACAACCGCATATTGAGCAATGCCAAGCTCAAGGCGGTAATGAAGAAGATCGTCGTTGGCACTCCAGTGGCGAAGGTGCCGGTCTCGAAAGGTGCGCCTCAAAACAATACTGCGAGTGAAACCTTTCTTCAATCCGCCAACGAGGCCGTCGTCATGAGTGAAAAGCGGCAAGACGCCACATCATCACCACCGCAAAGTCAACACTCACCAGCGCAGCCATTAGGGAATAAAAATGGTCCAGCAGCTTCCATGCAAACATCT